TTTTCCTTCAACAATTTCAAAGGACCTCTAACTGTACGACCGAACACCAATTCAAAAGGACTGAACCCAAGAGACTCCTGGACTGCTTCTCGTGCAGCAAATAGTACAAGATGAACCCCTTCATCCCAGTCTTTCTCATACTGGTAACAATAGGTCTTCAGCATTGTTTTTAGGGTTTGATGAAAACGTTCTAGCGCTCCCTGGGACTCAGGATGATAAGCAGTTGATCTATACTGCCTAATACCCAACTCATGCATGACTTGCTGGAACAACCCCGACATAAAATTTGAGCCTTGATCCGACTGAATTGCCTTGGGTGCTCCTACAAAACTGAAAAACTTGGTTAGGGCCTTAACTATGCTCTTTGCCTTTATATTCCTAAGAGGTATGGCTTCAGGAAACCGAGTGGATGTACACATAATGGTAAGTAAATACTGGTTTCCAGATCTTGTCCTAGGCAAAGGTCCTACACAATCCACCAACACTCGACTAAACGGTTCTTCAAAAGCTGGAATGGGTTGGAGAGGAGCAGATGGTATCTTCTGATTTGGTTTACCTACCATCTGACAGACATGGCATGACTTGCAAAACTTCGAAACATCCTTTCTTAGCTTAGGCCAATAAAAATGACTCAAAATCCTGTTATAAGTCTTATTGATACCTAAATGACCAGCCATAGGTGTATCGTGAGCTAAACTCATGACATCTCGACGATAAGCAGCTGGGACCACTATCTGGTGAACAACACGCCACACTTCATCTGGAGAAGCGTCAGGTGGTCGCCATTTTCGCATAAGGATGCCATCTTTCATATAGAAGCATTCTCCAACTTTAGTAGCCTCTTCTGGTGGAAGTGCCCTCTTACTAAGTTGAATGATATCTGGGTCTTTATGTTGTTCAGAGAGTAAACGTTCTCGGCTGAGGATGTCCTTGCCTTGGCTAACTAGTGGATGCAACTCATCATCCTCACCACCAAATTTTGGTAACAGTTCTTTCTTCTCTTGCTTCTTGATATTGTGTGGTTCCATGCTTGTTTGAGTGCCATCAAGGTCAGATAAGAAAGTGTCATTCAAATCAATATCAACAGAGGAATTCGTCTCGTCAAAGGCTTGAGTATGGTCTGCCTCCATTTCTCGTCTTCTGGCCATCGCTCTAGTAACAGCACAGGCTGGATAAATGTCATCATCTTCATCATCTCACATGACATCTGGAGTGATTTTCTCACAAACTATAGGATCTGGTACAACTTTTCCACCAGCTAAATCGTTGCCTAGCAACAAAGAAATGCCTGGAACAGGAAGAGTAGGTCGAACACCTACGATAACAGGTCCAGTAACTAAATCTGACTTCAAACTAATTCTATGCAGGGGAACATCAATGACGCCTAGCTCCACACCCTGTAATAAAACTGACCCAACAGTAGAAGTCTGCTCAGACAAAGGAAGCACGCCCTCTAACAATAACGTCTGTGCAGCACCAGTATCTCTCAAAATCTGGACAGGTTTTATTTCGCTAGAGTCACCGAGTGAAACAAATCCCTGAGACATAAAGGGCTTATAATCCTCCATAGAATCAATAGAACTGGACTGTGAACCCTGGACATCAGGAATGTCAGAACAAATCGAAACTAAGGCTTCTCTATCTCCTCTAACTGCCGCACAAGCATGTGGTTGAGTTTTATCAAAGTCATTTTTTCTCTTAAGTTTAAAGCATTCACTGATCAGATGACCTTTTTTCTTACAATAACTACAAGTAGGAAGCGACCCTATTCCAGAAGATCCTTCAAAACGTCCTGGACCGGACTTAGAACCACCTTGGGATGGAGACTGGGAACTTGTGAAAGATTGAGACCCTGAACCACTCTTTTTATATGTGTCTGAATTTGTAGAATTACTGCTAGTCTGAGATCTTGATACAAAATTCTTTTTATGAGACAGAGCATAAGTATCAGATATGACTGCTGCCTCTTCAAGAGTTTTAACATTCTTATCTTCTAGATGTGTTTTCAAATCTTGAGTAACACATTCCTTAAACTCTTCTACCAGGATGACTTGGCGCAAATTAGCAAAAGTTTTATCAAGTTTCTTAGATCTAAACCAGTGATCGAATAAATCTTCTTTCTCTCGTGAAAATTCAACAAATGTTTGATTATCAAACTTTCTATACTTTCTGAACTTTTGTCTATACGCTTCAGGTACTAATTCATATGCTTTTAATATTGCTGCTTTGACCTTCTCATAGTCTGAACTTTCAGCTACCCCTAGTGCAGAGTATACCTCAGCTGCTTTGCCAACCAGTACACTTTGTAACATTGTTGACCAAACGTGTTGTGGCCATTTAAGATTTTCTGCGACTTTTTCGAATTGGGGAAAGTACTTGTCTACAGATTTTTCTTGAAATTTCGGAACTAACCTAATATTTTTTGCTGCATCAAATTCATTCTTGACAAATGAGGGTTCTGGTTTATGCTGTAATCTTAATTTCTCTAACTCAAAGTGCTCTTGTCTTTCTAATTTGTCTAATTCAAATTTCCGTTCACGCTCTCGTTCTTCTCTTTCTCTTTCTCTGTCTCTTTCTCTTTTTCTCTTCTCTTTCTAATTTTTCTCTTTCTAATCGCATTTTCTCTAACTCTAATTGAAACTGATAGTCTGCCATTTTATAAGAGCCTAACTCTGATCTAACTGTATATTCTGGAAGATCGTATTTTTCAAAGACGTTTTCTTCTACTAGTTTGTTTGCAACCTTAATTTTAATGTCTTGCTTTCTCTGAGAGGATTTAACATCTAACCCAAAATGCAAACCTAATGCGATCAAGTCATCCTTTTTTAACGTATCAAAAACCTGAACACTTGGTGAACTAAGAAAGTCTGTGACCGAAAACACCATGTTGATTTCTGCTGGCTTATAATCAAATTTAACGGTTCAATAAACAAAATTCTGACAATAAACTGTAAAAGTGCTAGAAATTCTTTATCCCGGACGAGCCCCCAATTCTGTTATGGGTCAGAATAACCCTAAATGCCAGCAAAGATCAATAACACAATTTAAACTTAACAATAATTTATTTACAGTAATATATAATAAGTATATGAAACATAAAGTACAAACTTAGCAAGAATCTAAAAATACATACATCAGAGTGTCCGTTGCTGCACACAATGTCCCAGTGAAAATATATCCCATTTATATCTCAATAGTGCTTATACGACAAAGTATCTCTGCATCGATTTGACAGGGTATTTATACAGTAATATAAATCTAGAATATTCTAGAAATTGTAAATACATGATATTACTGGAAAGTTCTGGACATGCACAAAGTTCAAGAATGTTCTAGAAAAATAACCGAACATGTTGACCACTCTGGAATGTTCAAGAAACTTAATGTTACTAATAATATACATGATGAAATAATACAAATACAACACACCTCACAACAATAGATCTACTATCATAATGTTTTTTTTTCTCAGTTTGATTTTTTTGAATGTGATCTTACATTGATATTACATGTACATAATGCAACCCTAAAGTTAATCTTGAGAAGATTTTTTTAATGTGTTCCCTATACGTACTCAATATATACATGTACATGTAGTCAGAGGTTATTCGTTATAATTAAAAAGTAACCTTACCCTGTCCCCCAGGAATATGATCAAATAGTCTTCATCATGATTTCAAAATAATGATAATGTGATGACAACGATTTTAACGTAGAATACTAAAGAAAGCAATGAAGGAGGTTTAAAGTAAAGACTTGATCGTTTCTCTTCGTTCTGCATCACTCTGTACAAAGGAGTACAATGACAGTGAATATATTTGAAACATGTACAATTCGTGATTGTATTTAGATTGCCCACTGTTCATTCAAAACATACAAGGGACCTTTTTTTCTAAAAAAAAAAAAAAAACCCGTTGTTGAAACATAGTTAAAGTTCATTTATGTACAATTTTTACTCTCTCTCTCTCTCTCTCTCTCTCTCTCTCTCCACAATTCACCAACAAAATCAAAATTAATGTTGACATTTTTTAACTCTATGTAGAGAAGAAACAAGTTAAGCTGTACTTTTATTCATTTAGTTTTCTTCTTTGGTTTAAGTTCAAGGGTTCAAAACGATTAAATGACATTTATTAGATCTACGTAAAATTAATCATATATAAAACGGCAATTAAAACTCCACTAATCAATCCAGAAAAGTGGTTAAAATTAATACAGCGTTAAAAACTGCACTTTAGATTCCATTTTTTTTTTTTTGCATTACCTTGTATAAAAGAGATTAGGAAATTTAAAAAAATGTTTCATAATTTTTTTTTTTTACACACTTGTATTTCTAGATTATCATGACAATGAAGGGGAACTTACTCAAGGCTCTCAACTAAAAAGAAATCTATAAACCAATTTATCTGTATTCTTCGGTTATTCATTTACACGTACAATGTAATACATGTACACCTTTCTGTTGTGGAAACAATCGGATTAAAATCAGAACCTTGATCCGCTCCTCTGTTTTTATCATCGCCTCCTTTAGCGACAAAGGAAAAAAAACCATAGAGGAGCGGATCAAAGATTTTACTTCAATCATATTATTATAAGTGCATGCAATGACACAATAACTCCCTCCTCCACCAGGTAATAAACGTACATGTACTTTTTGCAGAATATTTGTTTTTTGGGTTTTTTTTCTGTCTAGTTATCAATCGATAATCAGAGTAATACTTCTATTATTTATAAAATTTTAAAAATTACTGTCAAAACCTCAAAACAACATTTAATCTGAAATTTAAAAAGGAAAGCAAGTACTAAAACATTGAACATTAAAACAAACGATTAAATTGTCAAAAACTTGAAAAAAAAATCGCATTGGTGCGCAGTTTAGTCATTTCCTTCTCTTTGTACGTCTGACTTACGACATTAAAATAAATTACCTGTTTAACATTTTCTGCACATAAGAAAAACATGACCAGCCTTTAATTCCCAAAAAATGAATATTTGTGGAAAGTACAAGTATCTCAGTCTATATAAATGGACCTTACAGGTTTTCATTCAACAGATTTATCTTAATATTTTGAAACAATCATGCAAGCCGTCTTTGTGTTGTTATTCTGCCACTTGGTTCATTTTGTATTTGGATGTACACCTTTTATAGAACATGATCAGTCGCGTTTCTGTAGGAATGATCACGGTAGGTACATATATAATGATGTATAATTACATTTGTCAGTCATTGCATGATTTTGTATACCCTCATAATCGAAGCTTCGGAGTATTTAGTTTTTGCTCCGGTCGTCCGTATGTCCGTCTGTTTTATATTTCAAGCAAATCTCTTTCTTCTCAAGTACATGTAAACCATTATTTCTTTCGCTATATATTTGGTCTCAATTATTAAAATTTTCAACTTTACTATACTTTTATTTAAAAAAAAAATCGATAGTAAGAAGGATTACATTCACTTTAAAAGTTAACGGACAAGACGGCCAAGTGGTAGCTCGTTACTTAACGCTTGCTTAAGTTTTTGACTTAAAAGTAGAGCTATAAGACGTATAATATGGTTTAGGCACAATCCTAATTGCAGACCTGCCAGCCTAAGTACTACTTCAGTTTGTCTTATAACAATTCTTGTCAATCTTTGATTAGATTAAGGAATAACTATCTAATATTTTGATTACATGATGTGATCAATCGATTGGCTTGCGTGTTAATTTGCATAAATAGAACATTATCAAGTAAGCAAGCCAATCGATTAATCATCGTCATTGAACCAAAAAATCTGACAGTTATTCCTTATATTTACATTCTCCTAAGTCAACAATTTCACGTCCTACAAGCCCAGTTTCTATAGATCTCTATTCGTCCCGCCTCGCACGTGATTTTTTTAACCACGCCTATCGATGAACCAACATTTATGCAGAAAAAAATATTTTTCACATCTCGGACAAAACGGTGGAAATGTAAATATTTGTAAATATATACATTTGTGGTATCTCTACATTATATAAACATAAAGAGAACAAATATCTTCAATTCTGTATGAAGTTTGTCAGAGGTCAGAGGTCAATACGTGACCTAATCACAAGGCGCAATGAACTCTACCGGTACAAAATGACTTGCTCTTGCTTTTCATGTATAGAAATGAACAAAACAAGCAATTAATTATTAATTAATTAATCAATCATTATTTTATTTACAATGTAAACGAGTATTTCATACATTTTTGGCTATCGATTTAACCTGCGTACATAGAGAATATACACATGAAAACTAGCGTTTGTTTACAACATTTATGACGATTAATTGTCAGCTGCACAGTCTCTAACGTATCCTAATTTTTGGGGTAGACCTTTAGTTAAAATTCTATGAAACACTGCAATATTTTCATTAAAATCTACTCACGATAAATGTGTAAATCTGTTGGAAAATATCAAAGCATTGCAATCACGCCACAAACAGCTGACAAACACCTCGGAGTTGTCGTAACAATAATCTGTCGATCGCCAGTGTCTCCGTGTTTTCATCATATAAATATGCCTTTATTCATTGAAATCGTAGATTGAATGTTTTTGATCAAATCCAATTGATTGCATATTCACTGGCTCGGTCAAGTGTGTCCATCCATCGGATACATCCATCCCTTTCTGGCGACCGAAATTCCTCCAACTTTTTATCATCGATCTTCAAATCGGACGTGCTTCTTGTGTCTTTTCAGCATTGATTATCAGTTTTCACGAAAAAAAATATTCCCAGACAACAATCTATTCACTATTACCGATCAGAAGTAGCCTTTCACAAAATATTCCCTTAGAAATAAAATCCATAGCCTGGTGAATTCGAAGCGTAACCGCCATTCAAGCCGATTTACACCTTGCGTCATTTTTTAAAATCTACGACGGACGGTTAGTGCAATAATTTATATTCGAAAATATTCAATTGTCTGTCTCAAATGTATATATATACATTTGTGGTATCTTTCCGCCATATAAACATACAGAGAGAAAATATCTTCAATTCTGTATGAAGTTTGTCAGATGTCAGAGGTCAATACATAGCCGAATCACACGGCGCAATAATATCTACCGTTACTTATAAATATAAAATGTCTTGCTTTTCATGTATAAAAATGAACAAAATAAGCAAGTGAAATAATTGTTTTATTTACAACGTAAACAAGTACTTCATACATTTTTGGCTGTCGATTTAACCTGTGTACATAGAGAATATACCAATAGAAACTAGCCTTTGTTTACAAGTAGTATTTCACTTTTGTCAGCTGCACTTTCTCTAACGTTTATCCTTATTTTTGTTAGACCTTAAGTTAAATCTTCATGATATATGCTAAAACTATATATTTTTTTATTAAATTCTACTCACGATAAATGTGTAAATCTGTTGGAAAATATCAAAGCATTGCAATCATGCCATGAACAGCTGAGAAACACCTCGATCGGCGCTGCCGTACTTCAATGTAAACTGTCGCCAGTGTCTCCGTATTAACATCGTAAATATGCCTTTAGTTACTGAAATCGTAGATTAACTGTTTTTGATGAAGTTTTATACTTGATTGCAAATTAACTGGCTTGGACAAGTATCTCAATCCATTGGATTTAAATGTATAAATATATAAGTAATAAATAACAAGTTTATAAACTTCAATGGGAATTGAAGAGGGTCGGTACGTGATCAAATCTTCTGAGAAGGCCTTCGGCCTTCACAGGATTTGATCACGTGACCGACCAACTCCAATTCCCATTGAAGTTTATAAACTTGTTATTTATGTCTTAAATATAAGTAATAAATAACAAGTTTATAAACTTCAATGGGAATTGAATTGAGGGTCGGTACGTGATCAAATCTTCTGAGAAGGCCTTCGGCCTTCACAGGATTTGATCACGTGACCGACCAACTTCAATTCCCATTGAAGTTTATAAACTTGTTATTTATTTCTTAAATAAATATACTCGTATTATAAAACAGTCATGGATTGATATAGGTCCAGAAAAGTATTAAAAATAGATTTTAAATTGAAGTCCTTCTCTAGCATACTAGTTCGTGGCATATCTCTCTATTTACATGACAATAGTTCTATTTCGAATAGACGAGAACAACGTTCATTCAGTCAGTCAAATGAAATTGATATTTTTTTCTTAAATATGCAAGTTTTTTATTAAGAAGATGTGTATTTTTTTCCGAATCTATTTTCAGCATTTAGTGGAATTGTGCGATTTTCCAGAGTAACGGAATCCGAGGCTGTCTTTCAAATTCAAGTAATTAGAAATATCAAGGTAAGTTTACATGTAAACAATCTTAAATATTCAGATGTAAAATGATCCTAATTATCCTCTTTTAAAGATTTTCATTTTGTTTTCTAAAATGAATATTTTGCTGTATTTGTAATAAAAAATAAGATAAATTCAAAGTAAACATGAATTGTTAATTATTAAGCAACAGACATGAAAAAGATACATGTGATACATGAAATAAAGTAAATTTTAAGTTAGGAGTTATTTCGCTTGGCATAGACCCTTACTCTTTAAATGATACATTGCCACAAATATGCGGGATTTTTTTTTTTATATAGTTCGGTTGTAAATGATGCATCATTCATCTGCACCTGTATCAAATTTCTACAAATAAAAAATTCAAATTTATTTAATGTTAAAAACTTTTTTCCTTCAAAAACCCGTATTAGAAAATGTCACTAATATTACATTTTCTGGGAGACCTTGAATGAAGATATTATAAGACTTTTACAAAAAGCATTCACTGTTTTAGTATATAAAGTTAAAGTAAATCTAATATTCATGACTTTTCACCAAAAAAGTGCATTTAATGCATATGCATGTATATACCTATATTTAATAGGGCGGGGTTACTTTCCCTAATGGTCTTATAACGGTTTATGGAAGAGGAGAACTACATTCCTGTGGAGCTACAAGACTGAATCAGGACCAAAGATACATCTTATATGGCAAGTCTTGTACACTGTACTCCTAGAACATAAAATCAAACGAAAAAAATCTGATATTTCGTACTTATATGAGAAGTAAAAACTTTTGTTACTTACAGTTTAATAAGTAAAATGTTTGTTTTTACACAAATGTATATAATTATACATTGTAGAACCCAGTATACATTGTTGACAGTTGACAGTAGTCTCGGGAAACAGTCGAATGACCGAGGAGTGCAAACTGTTGCCCGCAGCCTACGGCCTTGGGCAAAAGCTTGCACTTCGGTCCAATAGGTCGACTGTTCACCTCTACCCCAGTCAATAACTGTATAATATTACGGTATCTTTCTTATCCCAACGCAATGGCAGTCTAAGTGACATGAGACCTGAGCTATCGTGACGCGTTCTATCCAAGTGAATTCAAGAATGAAAATTGTAAAGATGAGTTTTTAATTTTTTTTTACTTCGTTCTGGATAACCTGTCACAGTTATTGTTTAAGTTTCGCTTTCTATAGAATGTATTTTCTTAATCATTTCCTTGAAGAGTGGAAAGGGGGTTTAATAACTGCATTTTTTTTTCTATGCGAAACGATTGCATATACTTGAAAATATCAATTTTATTCAATGGATAAATTATAAAATTCACTGTTGAAATTATAATAAAATATCAAGTTTTGATTATTTTACCCATCTTTGACGATTCATGATATTGAGTTGTAAATATTTTAATAAGTGAAAACTAAATTATTGTTAGCAATCATATCTTGAACACAGAACCAGTTTCCTTAATTAGATAAAAAAAAAACAATGTTGTGTTTGATCACACTTAGATGCAAACAATCGATGCGTTTACAAGAGAAGCTTATTCTATACTTTTTTTTATTAAATTCTGAAAAAATTCTTGGATGGAACATAATACAACATACAATCAATCAATCAATCAAAAAATCAAAATATTTTTCATTTGTAGTTTCTCTAAGTGATAACAGACTTAGTGTAAATCACTATCAGGAGGCTAGTCCAATCAATTTCAACAGAATCCGAAGATACGACTGCTCTTGTGAGGTGAATATCTTTAAATACTGAAGAACAAAGAATTTACAATGATTTAAAATAATTTACCTGTTAAAATGCATAATTATGTATCGTATAGATATTTTTATTAAATTTATTTATTCAAATACATAAATATCAGTTACTGGTACTTGTATACTTGTTTATAACCTTTAAATGTGCTATAAAGTCATTATAAATCATTTTAACCTCAAATTAAAAACAAAAATGAGAAAAAAAATATTTTTAAAAAATTATTATAATAAAAATCATTTTAAAAAAAAATAATAAAAATAAATATATGAAAAGTAAACATTTACTTCACCCTCCCTAATGAAAGATCAAATATGTTTTATGCAAAGTAAAAATCTTGCATCTTCTCGCAAATTGATCATCCTTTCTCAATTTTCATATCAGGAAGCCATACAAATATATCGATTAAAAGATCCAATTAAATGTTGTTTTTTTTTTATTTCTGTCTTTTAAGGATTAATGAAAATTAATAATTTTAGATCGAGATCGACCTTCCACGACAATCATTCCTTAACAATTCGATACCTGCCAGCAACAAGTGTATCATCACGGAACAAGAATTTGGCTGCACATTCTGGAATGGATTCTGTAGTCGGGCTGGATCACCATATGGACTTCGTGGCGCATGTCAATGGGTTCCAGGAAGGTCCGTTTGTTAAGTGACTGATTTGGTTTGGAAATTGGATCCACTTTATGTAATATTTGTAAGAAACTGTTTTTCAATAAATGTCTGTGAGAAATATTTCGTCTTTCCCGTCTCATTATTTCGTCTTTATTTTTAATTTTTTTTTAGATAATTAATAATTTACTAGATAAATTTATGGTGTTTTCGTTTGTTATTGCTCTATTATTTTAATATCATTGAAATGCAGTTTATTGAAATTGTAGAATTTTCATAAAAAGTCATATCTTTATATAAAATGATATGATAAATAGAAAGATCTCATTTAATTCTGGTATCTTAAAGATGAAAATGATTTGCAAATAGGTATACGTCATCTTCAATATTACTATAGTCATATCAGCACCGGGGTATACTCTTCACATTTGTTACACCTGACTGCATTATTGTTACGGATATCAGCTAGGGATTGCGATCGGTACAAGTGTGTTCATGCTGGTTATCTTGCATTACCTTGGTATAATTTTTGCAGTAAGGTGTGTTTTATGTCTGTTGACTGCGACGTACTGTGTAACTGTTGTAAATTCTTTGATATCTTATTCTAGATTAGAAGATTACACATTTATTTTTGTCGCTACCGAGTTTTGTATATCATACGTCCGTCTACACCGGTGACGATTAAGTACACAGAGCAGTAACCAAGTGAGCGGTTTTCTATAGAAGCCCTCAGAACTAGCGAAAACCAATCGAATATGGCGGACACATTTCTTTTTTGAATCGTGTTCAGCTTTAACTTATCAAAAATACCCTATAATTTTTTAAATTATTTTCTCAAATTTATGATCCTTACAATGGCAAATTTAGCTAAAATAACTTGTCATTGTATTTTATTTTGGATGAAGTTTTTTCCCCATACCAATTGCCTCTCCTTTGATTCAATACTAAGTTTGTCTACTTTAATATTCCATCTACCTGATCATTAAATAAAGTCATACGGGTCGACAGAGATTCAAGCCTACTTCTCCTCGAAACCCGATCCTACCTCTAAAACATTACATATCGGGAGCAGGTCAAACATGGACCTCAAAATACAGCAAAGG